AGAGATTACATTCACACATAATGGCTCTGTGATCCTGGGCAATTGGTTTAATTTTATAGTGCCCTAGCAACTCTCAAAGATGGGTGGCAAGTTGCTTTGGAAGAGGGATTTTCTCATCCTGGAGTTCCCTATACCAATTAAATAATCTGTTGTTATGGGAGAAATATCTCCTCTCTGAGTGGATAACTGCTGCCTAAATATATTTACCACAATGCAGAAATTATAGAGGTAAAAACCAACATTTCAAACATAGGTTCAGGCCTCAGAGAAAACCCAAACCTCAGTTAGGACTGTCACAAATCCTCTTCTAGGCAAAACTACATCAGAGTAACCAAGAAACCAAATACATATTGCAATCTTGTACATTCCTCTTAGGCCTTAAAAGTTAAAGAAGATAGAGCCACAATCCCATACTTCCTTCCATGTCCTAAAAGTTAAACAAATGTGCTTAAACAGAATCATAATTTCATGTGTCTGCTGAGGAAACGAGCCTTGTCAAAGCAACTCTGCAGGTAAACTAAGTCAGGTTATAGATTGAACTGCATTTGGGGGGTTCACAAACAGCCTAATTAAGGAGGAATATTGTATTGCTGAGGAGTCAGGAGGGACAGTTCAGATTTTTCCTCTTGCTTCTTATATTTAAGGCTCTAAGTAAATTTGCACGTCTCATGGGACAGGTTTTAGTCAGGTGAGGTTAATATTAACCAAAAATTGCAAGAGGAATAAGAGGGAAAAAAAATTCCTAATGTAATGTCCAGTCCCTATTCCTCTCCCCATCAAATATATATATGTATGTATGTGTGTGTGTATATATATATATATAAATTTTTTTCCAACAGAGAAAAAAATTCTATGAAAAAAAATCTGCTATCATGATTTCCAATGGTTCTGACATGCCAGGGTGCTCTCGAATTTCTGCAGGGAGTTGGATGGCTCTGTCAGCGGGTCCTGTCAGAGTAATGAGCCCTGTGAATGTAACCAGTGACTGGCAGCACCATCCCATGTTCCTTCTCTAAAAAACGTTGACATCCTTAGGGCCTTGGGCTCTGGAGGCAGCTCAAATACTGTGACAGCAGATTCAAGTGTCATTATGAAGAGCTCTGAGGCAACCGTAGAATAATTATGAGGCACAACTCAAGATCTTGGCGTCTTAGACTGAATTATAGCAGGCCCAGAAGGCAGGCAATGGGGTTTCCTTGGGGGACTCCTTGGGGATGGAGGTGGGGGGAGGCCTCTTTGCTGAGGATTGATGGGCTGCTCATCAACCCAGCGGGCCTTACTGTCAACCACCGTCAGGCCCTTTACTTTTTACATATTTTACATCAATTTATATGAGTATCTGTTGTCTCTTCATCGGAATGTAAGCTCCTCGAGGGCAGGGGCTGTTTAATTTTTTATCTTCGGATCTTCAGGACCTCACACAAAGCAGACACTTAATAAATGTTTATTTGTTTTACATCAATGGAATCAATTATTTATGCCCAAATGATCCTTCCTTTCCATGAACCAGTAAACTACAAAAGAGGAAAGTGACGAGTGACATGAATGGCTACCATAATTACAGGCAGCTGAGTTTAACTGATTTCCAGGAATGTACTTTTTGTACTGTGGAAAAGGGGAAGTTATTTGAGTTTTTGCATGGGAAATTTCTGTTGGGTCCAAACAAAAATGTACCAAGGCATTTGTTTTAAAGAAATAAAAAACCTTAATTTAAAAAAAGTCCCATTTAGGGCAAATCATTCAACCTCTGTCTGCCTCTGTTTCCTCATCTGTAAAATGGGCATAATAATAACACCTCCTGGGATTGTTATAAGGATAAAATGAGATGTTTATAAAGCATTGCATAAACTTTAAAGCACTTATTAATGCTACATGTCATCATGACGATCAGCATCATCTTTGTTATTGTTCTGATATCCCAGAAGCTCCTAGAGGGGAATCCGTAGCGCATTTGAGAATCTAAAAAGCAGCATCAGAACCCTTCTGGGTCTCTTTACATTTCTTTGGATAATAACATGGTGAGAGTGGCCTGAGGTTGGGGTGTGGGGTCCTTTCTGAACTGAAACTATATCCTTTTGCTCCTCTGTGATGCCCTGTAGCCTCTCTTTGGAAATCGCGTCATCCACTGAGGCAACTAAGTGGCTCTTAGCTCCTGATACAGTCGGGAGAAGCTGAGTTCATCTCTAGTCTCAGATGCTTACCAGCTGTGTGACCCTAGGCAAGTCACTTAAGTTCTGTCTACCTTGGTTTCCACATTTGTAAAATGGAGATAATAATAGCACCTACCTCCCAAGGTTGTTATGAGGATAAAATAAGATACATTTGTAAAGTGCTTTGTAAACCTTAACGTGCTATATGAATGCTAGCTAGTAACAGCAGGAGAAGGAAGAAGAGGAGGAGGATGAGGAGGAAGAGGAAGAGAAGGAAGAAGAAGAAGATGAAGGAGGAGGAGGAGGAAGAGGAGGAGAAGGAGAAGAAGTAGTAGAAACAGGAGGTGGAGGGAGTAGTGAGAGTAGAAGCAGGAGGAGGAGAAGGAGGAAGAAGAAGAGAAATAGAAGGAGGAGGAGGGGGAGGAATAGGTGGAGGAGGAGGAAGTAGAGGAAGAAGGAAGAGGAGGAAGAGCCTCAACATCTTTCTAAAGTTCTGGACTGAGTCCTGGGGCTTGTGGATGCCTGGGGCTAGATTTGGGAGTTCTGAGAGATGAGAAGGCTTTGGGGCTCTGGGAAAACCTCTGAGATTCTGAAGAATCGGTCAATCAACATGTAATTATTCAGTACCTACTGTATGCCAGGCACTATGCTAAGTGCTGGAATATAAACTCAAACACTTAAACCGTCCCTGTTCTCAACAAGCTTACATTCTGAAGAGCCAGACAACAAGGACATGTGAAAATATCTACAGCATGAAAACAAAGTGAGTAAATCCAGATGCACACCCTGCAGTTAAATATAAGGCAGGTTGGGACAAAGGGAACTCACAGTTGACCAGAATGAGGAAAATCTTCAGGCACAAGAAGGTGCCTGAGCTTTGTCTTACAGGAGGCAGAGGTAAAGGGTGAATGCTTGTAGGCATGGGGCACAGCCGATGTAAAAGGCACAGAAGCTGGAGACAGAGTGTCATGTTGTGGAAAACAGAGAAGATGAGTTAGCTGGATTCTAGATCAGAAACCATCCAGTACAACTAAGGAAACAATTCTTTATTTTACAGATGAAGAGACAGGCTGCTTGATGGTATGCAGTGAGCAGTTAGGAAGAGCTTTAATGTTTGCAAAGGGCTTTACTTAGATGATCTCATTTCATCCTCATCTCAACCCCATGAGGTAGGTGCTATTATGCCTGTTTTACAGAGAGAGAAACTGAGAGGAGTTAAATGACTTGCCCAGGGTCACACAGCTAGGAAGTATCTGAGTCAGGATTCCAAGGCAGGTCTTCCTGAATCCAGATCTGGAATTCTATCCATGGGGCTACTACACCCATGGTACTTTGAGGATAATGATGAGTTCTTTGAGTCTGGGTCACTAGGAAAGGGAAATAATTTAATTTAGATTAAATTCAAGGTTTGTTTTTAAAGGCCTTATAAGAAATCACTTTGCACCAGCAGCTAGAGGCAGCTAGGTGGCACAGTGTGTAGAGTCATACAGACCTGAATTCAAATCCAGCCTCAGACATGTATTAGCTGTGTGTCCCTAGGCAAGTCATTTAACCTGTTTGCCTCGGTTGCCTCAACTATAAAATGGGGTTAATAACAGCACTAACCTCCCAGGGCTGCTGTGATGATCAAATGAGAATATTTGGAAAGCATTTAACACTGTGACTGGCATGCTGTAGGTGCTATATAAATGCTTATTCCCTTTCCCTCCTTTGGTCCACTGGGGATAATCCACCATTTTAGGCACTGTTGTGGTGATAAACACTTCACAACCTATTCTCCCAGGGAAAATAAATATACCCAGCAAGCACTTTTAAATTTAATCTGTCCCATTTTCTCCATCAGTTTCTTAAATCTGGAAAATCAAAACAATAAACCAAGCTCTGATATATAGTGACTGTCGATTTCCCAGGTATAAGTTGTTCACACTAAAACTTTAACTCTGGCAAGCAGGTTCAAGCTAGCCCCAAGCACCCCCCTGGGTTTAAGTGGGGAGGGCGGAAAATTTAGTGAAACTAAACAGCATATCAACGGAGTCCAACCTTCTGTGCAATGTTCCACACCTATAGTCGCCCTTCTCTGCAGAAAAGCTAGGGTCTTATATTTCTATATGTCTTCTTAGGGCCAAGCTAGGCCATTCTAATTTTTAACATTCAGTTTACATTATTTGTTGTGGTGGGTATTCATTCCTTTCACATTGGCTTTGGTATGATCTGCATTACTTACCTAATTCTGCATAGTTCACCTTGTATCATTTCATATGGGTTCATCCCATGCTACTCCATATTTGTCACATTGCTTGTTTCTTAGAATAATATTCCATTCTATTCTGTGAGGTAGCTAGTTAGTGCAGTGGGTAGCTTACTGGGCATGGAGTCACAAAAATCTGAGTTCAAATCCAGCCTCAGACACTTACTGCCAGCTATGTGACCCTGGGCAAGTCACTTAACATCTGCCTGCCTGTTTCCTCAGCTATAAAATGGGGCTAATAATAGCATCTACCTCTCAGGGTTGTTGAGAGGATCAAATAAGCAAGTATTTGTAAAGGATTCAACACAGTGCCTGGCACATAGTAGGCTCTTAATAAATTCCTGTTTCTTCCTTCCTTCTCATTCATGATCCACAGTTTGGTTAGCCATTCTTTGATATACTTTCCTGTTCTTTGCTACCACAAAAAGTGATACTATAAATATTTTTAAACATTTAGTACCTTTCTTCTTCTCACTGATCTCCTTTTGGTATTTTCCTAGCAGGAGGATCTCTGAGTCAAAGGGTATGAAGATTTTTAGTCACTTTCTCACCATAATTTATCCATTTCCTTAATTTTTTCATAATTTCAAATTGCTTCCTAGAATACTCGGACCAGCTCACAGTTCCATCAGTACTGAAGTAGTGTGCCTGTTTTCCCACAACACCTACGACATGGATTATCTTTTATCATCTTCACCAACTTCCTAGATGTAAGTTAAAACTTCAGAGTTGTGATGACTCATGTTTTTCTTTATTTAGAACAATCGATTTGGAACAATCTTTTACATAGTTGCTAATGGTTTGAAATTCTTTCAAGATCTGTTTACTCATATCCTTTGACTACTTATCTATTGAAAATGACTTTTAGTCTTATGCCAAATGAGATCAGGAAGAGTCATATTCTACTGCAGTGACTGAAGAACAACAAAAATATTTATGTTTATTCCCTGTATATCTAATATGTCAGAACCTTATCAGATTTATTTTATATAAGATTGTGGATGCCTATGTTATCTCCCCTGATAGGTAAGGAAATTATCTGAGAGCAGGGACAATGTCTTATTCATCTCTGTATCCCCCAAAACACCCTACCCAATGACTTGCGCACACTATGTAACTAATTACTGCGTAGATTGTCATTTGTCCTTCATTCTTGAAGAGGACCATGGCATCCGTGAGATGGTGCCGTGACTTGCAAGTAAACTGGATTTAAGTGAGAGAGTGCTGTACAAAGGCACCAGCCTCACTCTCTCCACCAGAGCCATCTGGGTCCAGTGGCAAGATATAGATCAGGTCGGCTCAAGGTGGCCCCAGATATAGTGGGAGACCTTGGCTTTTTTAAGCTAAGGTCTTTCCCAGGTCTGAATTTGACTGAGGCAACGCCCGACATATAAACCTGTAGTCCATTACTGAATCTCCAGGCTCACTTAGAACGAGCAGCAGACTTAGAGATTTTTCAGCAATTATTACTCTCTCTGACTCATTTTTGGCACCACCCAATGGACCTCTCTGGGAACACCACAACCAACCTCATTTTAACTCTCCCCTAACAATAGTCACATTACCTTGTGAGCAACTGAGGCCACTAAACATTTGAACTTAAATCAACTTTATTAATAAGTTTATTATCAAGTACCATATTAGGGAATTTTTTTGACTGAAGGAAGGAGACCTCTTGTCAGATGACTGTAGGTCAAATATAGGAAGTTAAATCAATAGCAAAGAAATTTATTTTCATGCTTAAGAAAGGCAGCTCTCACTGTATAGTAGTTTCAACTTCTTAGGGCATAGATTTGGTTTTTATAATCTTTCAAGCTTGCTTAGAATATATAACCAATGAGCAGCATTCTGCAGCAACTTCAAATAGATAAGGAAAACATTTCACCGGAGATGGAGGGGTAGAGAAAGAGGGGGATCGCCCAGAGAAGAAAAGAGAATGAAACTGGAAGTATTTATTATAAGGAAAACATTCCCTCTTTGAATGCAGCAAACAAAGAGAAGTGACCAAATACGTTTACAATTGTGAAAGGAGTCCTTTTAGATAAACTAAGGGTCTCTTATCCAAGGACAAGTAATTGTTATAACAGTGAATGAGACTGCTTTATCATGTCTTTTCATGGTTTGCTATATATTATTTCTCCTTAAATGGGGTGGGGGTCTTTCCAGAATTAGGATACCGGATGGATAGGGGATTAATCCATTAACATACTGCAAAAATAATTGTGGTTCCTATTTTTCCTCCCACAAAGGAACTGAAGGAATAGAGGATGGAATAGTTATAGGTATCGCTCCAGTCTTCTGCCCCGTCATCTGAATCACAGTCCCTGCTACAAACTCCTGATACTAATAGGCAAAATTGCATTAGGCTGAAAGCCCTGTAATTGATGGTCTTATGGGGCAGCTCTGAGTGAAATGCCCTTATCCTGGCTACCAGCCTTTGCCACACCAATTCACCCCTGCTGTAGCAGCATGTAGTGGCCACTGTGGTAGCAGAGACTTCTGTGGCTGCACCATTATCCATTGTGAAGTTTCCAGTTTTGCTTGAGGCACCTCCCCTAGCTGCCACTGATGCTTTCTTTTCTAGAAGTATTCTGGAATTCCCCTTAGCACTCCTAATAGGTAGCTTCTTGGCTACAACCACTGCCACTATCTCCCTTTTCCCATCTCTACCATCTGCTGGAACGTTCTTTCTTCCTCATGGTTCTTCCTCCTACAATCCCTGCTTAATGCTTTCTGGGCATAGGCCTTGGGCCAACAGCATTATAAGAAAGAGAGTACTTTTGAAAAGAGCTTGGCTCCTCCTGGGACTTTCTATACATGTCTGCTACATTCACAAGGGCTGCTCAAGTGAAGAGCCTCTCAGGGCTTCCTGTGCCTATCTGCTACAAATCTTTATTGAATGAATGAATCAATGAATACATACATACATACATACATACATATATACACACACACACACACACACACACACACACACACACACATATATATATATATATGTATTACCATATTTGCCCAGCCTAGGGAGAGATGGGGAATAGGATAAAAAATTATACCTAAAATCAATCAGTCAATATTTATTAAGTGCCTACTATGTGTCAAGAACTGTGTTGAGTGCTGGGGATACACAAAGAGGCAAAAGACAGTCCCTGCCCTCAAGAAGCTTACAATCCAATGGGGGAAAGCACATGCAAACAAATATACAGGAAGCAAGCTTTATAGCTATAGCTATAGGATAAATAGGAAATAATTAACAGAGAGAAGGAGCTGAGATAAAGAGAAGTTGGGGAAGACTTGGAATAAAAGAATGGATTTTAATTGTGATTTAATGGAAGCCGAGGAGGTGAGTAGTCAGAGTGGAGGAGAGAGAGTTTTCCAGACTTGGAACCCCATGAATGAAACCTCAGACCTTCAACATTCCTTGCTTTTGATGTCAAAGTCTTTCTCATTCATGGGGCTAGGCATGTCCAAATCTGCCTTGTCTGTGTGCAGTGTGGATGATGAAAAATTCTCTTCTCGCATTCTTCCCTGGGCTCTGTGGAAAGTTCCCTTAATGGTTTGGCTTTTTACATAGATTAGTCAGTTTTCAAGTCAATAGGAAACCATTTCTGCTTGTCTTCAGTTCATTAGTTTTTGTGAGGGTTGTGGTTGTGGCTGGAGTGTTTAGAGGTGAGGAAAGAAGAGTGGAAAGGAGCGGGGAGGCACGATATTCAGCCGTCTTCAAGTTGTTCTGTGTAAGAGGGATCGTGCTTGTTCTTTTTGGCCCCAGAGGTAACGATGGGATACAAGTTGGGAGGCAAGGGGGGAGGGGTAGATTTCAGTATAAGAAAAGACTTCTGAGCCATCAGAGCTATCCAGGAATGGAGGTGCTGAGTTCCCTTTCACTGGAAAGGATCAAGCAGAGGCCAGATAGTCCTTTGCTGGGAACACCGAGGACAGAATTCTTGGCCAAGGTAAGGTTGGACCTGATGAGCTCCGAGGTTTCTTCCATCTCTGAAAACTGAGTGGTTCTTTCTCTTTCCATTCCCTCTTGCATTTTGTGTCTGTCACATCCTCGGATTGAGCAGCCATTCATATATGTATAACAACAATAATAGCAACTCATATCTATGTACTTTAAATCTTTAGAGCACTTTCCTTACGTTACTTTAACCAAGATAGGGCATGTGAAACTCTTCGCCAACCTCATAACAAAATACACAATTCTTCTGCAAGTGACATCACCCTCCCTCCCTTTTCAGTTAAGGAAACTGAAGCTTGAGGTGGTTAGCGATTTGTCCAAGGAGGTAAGTATTGGATCCAGGATGGGTATCACTCAGAAAAGGGCATTGGATTTGGAGTCAGAGAATCTGGGATTCAAAGTCCTCCTTTGATCCTTACTACCTATGTGATCTTGGGTAAATCACTTCTCCCTGGGCGTTGTTTTCCTTCCCTGTAAAGTGAGGCGTTTGGACCAGAGGACCTCTGAGGTCCCTTGGAGCCTTAAATCTGTGATCAAACCATTAATCTGTCTGACTCCAGGGCTAGCACATTTTCAACCAAACCTAACTGTCAAAGGATCAGATTTAAAGCTGGGAGGTCAATGAGTCCAACCCCCCATTTTACAGAACAGGAAACTGAGCCCCAGAGAGATTTCCCTCCAAATTTTCCTCAATAGTATCGCTTGCTGTGTATCTTCACTGTAGGCTGAAATTGACCCTCCCCAATCCCCTTGATCGACGAATTCAAAAAAATTTCATTTACTTTACGTGAGGCACCATGTTAGATGACTGATTGAATGTTAGTCAAGTTAAGCAGTAATTAAGTATCTACTAAAGGCCAAGCACTGTGCTAAACTCTGGGGATATAAAGAAAAACAAAAGATAATCTCTGCTCTAAAAGAAGGGAATGACATTTATAAAGTACCTACTGTGTGCCAGGTACTGGGTTATACACTTTTATTAATATTATCTCATTTGATTCTCACAACAACCCTTTGAGGTAAGTGCTGTTATTATCCCCATTTTACAGTTGAGGCAAACAGAGGTTACATGATTTACCCAGAGTCTCCTAGCTAATGAAGGTCTGAGGCTGGATTTGAACTCAGGTCTTCCTGAGTCCAGGCTCAGCGGCGGGTCCCCATACCACTCGCTGCCTCAAGGAGCTGACACTCTCTAGTTTCTGGAGGGGTATATGTTGCTTGTACTCTGTCCCCATACAGTTAGGGTGTCCCCCATCAGGGATTCTGGTCTCCCTTGAGTCTAGATTGAACTATTTGGGGCTCTGATTTCAACGCTAGTGAAACTGTTCCTTTGTCATTTATTGAATCTTTCTTCAGAGGCATTTAATAGCAGCTGATGCCAAAGTTCCTGGTTCATGCTTTAGTCACTTCCCGAATGTACCATTATCAGACTTCTGGCTGCCTTCACCCATTCATCTATCCAGATTGGCCTGCCAAAGCCTCATGGCCTATTTTAAGGGTTTTTCCTGCCTCTCTATTTGCATCAGTTACCCTTTCATTTGATCAACTTTCTTGGCTCTGGTTATCTGAAGAATGATAATTATTGTTTAATATCCTTCATTTTAATGATTCCCCAATTCCAGGCTGTCACATTTGCACGGATCCTGGGGTTCCAAGAGCTCATTTCTAATCAATCATCACATCCAGTTTCCCTGTCCTTGCATGACCCTCTCTACCCCTGCCAAATCTGGGCTAGTTTCCCCAGGCAGG